TTTTAGAATGGCAAACCAACCGCTGTGTGGCTGTTGCGGGAGAGAGAAGGACATATTGTTCAGATGCCATGAAAGCAGTTCTTAATGAGAATAACCCGATAGACCATCAGTCAATTACCCAGGAAACATCACTACAGTAGGCATGCCTAGCCACCTTAAGAAATTGACGAAAATGTTTCTAGGTAAAAGCTCTAGGAGGATCATCCTTGATGCACCATGCTTTTTTCTTTGTTATTTCTTCATTTCCTCCTTCTGCAATTGAGTTTGCATGGCTACTAATCCAGACCTCTGATGGTGGTAATCACGAATTGTTTTAGGGGCATCTATCAACACAACCAGTCACGCAAGTGCTGGCTCAAACTAACGTCTAGGGAGTTTAATGTGGAAAGGTGGTCAGTGTCTGGCAGCCCCTATTCTTCAGGAATCACTTAGCAATCACTCCTCGAACTCCCAGTAAAATGAGCCAGACAGGTGGCAGTAGTGAATATGTACTCAGATTTGTTTGTTCGTTTGTCTGTTTGTTGAGTGTGAGGGGATGCCCCTAAGAAAGGAGGCCTGGGCATGCAGCTCAGCTGGGAGGGCTTGCACACATGCACAAAGGCCTGGGTTCCGTACCTATCACCATGTAAACTGACATGCTGGTGTTCACCTATGATTCTAGTAACCAGATCAAAACTTAAAGGTCTTTCTTGGATACACAGTTTAAAGCCTTTTTAAACCCCTAGAGTCTATGCTTGACTAGAGTAGGTCTTATTTTTACTTTTAATGTTTTCATATCTAGACTTATTGGAGCCAGGAACCGTCTCACTGCTTAGACTATCTTCTTTTTTTTTCCCTTCATCTTTCTCTGCTCCTGGGCATCCCTTCATGTACCTTTTTACTTCTGAGTGATTTTCAAGATGGGGGAGAGGCTATTCCGGTCTTTTAAATTCCTTCTCTAATCCCACATCTTGGTCATCTAACAAGGCATGTTCATTGTTATATCACAGTACTTTTAATTTTTGCTTAGAAATAAGAGCTGTGCGCAAGATCTTTAATATCTTTGGTGATTCTATATTGCAAGAAAGTCATTTTCAGGCTAGCTGCCTGTATGGACAACACACCTGTAAGGGTCCACTTTTAAACTCAGATTGCTACACTCCAAAATTGTTCTGAGTGGAACACAATCCTGGAAAACTTTTCTTTATTCAGATATCTCTCTCTCTCTCTCTCTCTCTCTCTCTCTCTCTCTCTCTCTCTCTCTCTTTCTCTCCCTTCCTCCCTCCCTCCCTCTCTGCTTCCCTTCCCCTTTCCCTCCCTCTCTCCTTCCTTCCCTCTCACAATTGTTTCTTGTATTGTAGGTTGACTTTGAATTCACTGTGTATCCACGGAAGACCTTGAATTTCTCATCTGGTTACTAGAATCATAGGTGAACACCAGCATATCAGTTTACATGGTGATGCGTACGGAACCCAGGCCTTTGTGCATGTGTGCAAGCCCTCCCAGCTGAGCTGCATCCCCAGGCCTCCTTTCTTATGGGCATCCCCTCACACTCAGTGTTGTTCTGCTACAACTCAGATCCTATAGCTAGCTCTGGAACCATGAAGACTTTATTAGGTTTATCCTGGTATCATTATGTGATGCAGTTGGCAGTGCTTATTGACAAATGTTATTTTCTGTTCTGTGATGTTTATAGTCTGAATTTATTAAGCGCTCCTGGAATTCAGCCTTCTGGAATTAATTTAAAAGGCACACTTCTTAGGCATAGGAATGTGCAGAAAACTTTCACGTCATCTATGTGCTTTGAGTCTTAGTTCCTGTGGAAAGGGTTAAATTAGCTTCCAGTAGCCTAGCATACCGGCTCTTGTCACCGCCATCTTTAGGAGTTTGGATGGACCGGGTTCTCGCTGTCTCAGCACAGCATTTGTACATCCTGGCTTTTGGTGCTGCGTTTTCCACTCTCAGTGCAACTCTCCATTTTTATCCAGAAAGTTCTCTGTATAGCTGTTCTTTGTAATCTGGGTTGGGCGAGGGCCATATTCCACACGGTATCCATATGAGTACAGAAAAAAAAAAATGAAAAAAAAAGTTTGCTCTCCTTATATTGAATTCATCTTATAAAGCTTGTTTTTATTACCAACTTTAAACAATTGTAAATGGACTATAGAATGATTTTAAAATGTTTATTGCATTTTAAAAGGACAATAAAGGGTTGCAGAAAGTGTTCTGCAGTAGAAATTTTAGTCCTCCAAGTTAATCTGCGTTGTATGTCTTGATTCAGATTGTAGGCAGACTGTATTCATAACAAAAGTTCCAGATGGTCTTTGAGCCTTCTTTGTTTCCAATCCCTCCAATCTCTAGCGTTTTTTTGTTTGTTCTTCTTCTTTTTTTTTTTCCTGATATGTCACGGGTTAGGTTTCAAAGACATAGTGCCAGATTTCTGGGTGTTTTACTCTCAGAGCTCTTGAAATAGTTTGCTAATTCCCTGATTACATATTCTTTCCCCTCACTAAACTTCTAAGCCCCACTAGGCCATAAATCACATGGTCCCTTCTGTGTGAATTAGGGACATTAGTTACTAACTTGGAGTTGCTAATAATGCATAGCTGTTACATTAAGGAAGGAGATGTAAGTACTTCCCTTTGGAGTTATTTAACCAGATTTAATTTTTTTCTTCGTGCTCCCTGCCTTTGTCCTCTCTCTGCCTGTCTATCTATTTGTCTGTCTGTCTATGTATCTATCTCTTATATGAATCTAAATCTGTGCATGCCTGAAAACTGTCTAGTGAATCTGTCCCTGTATCTATATCTATCTGTCCTTTTGTGTCTGTCTGCTGCCTGTCCTTTTGTGTCTGTCTGCTGCCTGACTATGTGGCTATGTGTGTCTGTTCCAAATAAAGGGTTTTGCTCTGTCTTTATTGAGCATCATTGAAAGCATCGTGTGTGGAAGGAATAGGATACTTTACAAAATACCTTTAACAGACTTTTATAAGAGATTGACTCACTAGATGCAACTGATCTCAAGTGACCCAGACAACAAACGGCAGTATAAATATCATTATTTATCAACCATTACCCATAAATGTTATATTCAATATTTGTGACAGTTATTCATTTTAGAAGATTGCTTTCAACCTCTGTATTTGTTGCTTTTAGCAAATGATATATATGCATTTTTTTTCTGGGCAGGGACATCGAATACATGACTTCAGATAAAAGCTATGCATTAACTTAGTTTCTAAAAGCTTATTATATGGAGAATTCAAGACAAGAAAGGCTGGTTGTTACATTTTTTTCTTCAGGCTGTTGCTCACATGCCCATCTGCATCCCTGCATCCTGAGTTACCGTGTTTGTACCAACAGCTTACGTCAGACTCATGCTGCAGAGATAGCCACCACACTTGAGTAGCAAGGTATTAGAAAACGTTAGGATCATTGGCAAGTTAAGCTAAGTACAGCACCAAGATATATATATTCTTATTCCAAAGCTTTATTGATCTTTTTTATCCTTCAAATTACAGAATAAATGTATACTGTTTTTTGACACTTAGATAACATTTGCAGTACTGCTTTTTCAATTTCAAACTGTAAGTCTAAAGATAGCTAAGGAAATAATTTCAAGCGTAGTCTATCTGCTTTGGGTACAAGTTGTTCCAGTCTCCCTATTGGTGAGAATTGAGGAACTTGCAGTCAGCCATGTCCTGTCATGTTAGCTTATTGTGTAAGGAAATCAAATCTGGCACCTTTCAATTAACTTCTTTCGCTCTCCGTCTCAAAGCAGATGGAACACATTGCAGAACAAGACGGCGGGAGTGCTATCCTTGGATTTCCTTGACTGCCTTTAATTGTGGCTTCTGTCTTTCCAAACCTTGCTAAAAGTCACCCTGTAAAGGCAAGAAAGTTCCCTCACACTGAAAGGGGAAACTGTTGAAACAAAATGTATTCTCAATTTGAAGTTGACTACACTTAGGGCAATAACAACGGACTATTTCAGTTATACCAAGAGGCCTCAATGGAGGGCTTAAGTGTAAATAACCATGCATTGTTGTTTGGTCAATGTCCTTGGTAGTGAGTTTAAGCTATTCTACAGTAAGGAAAGGGGAGAGAGAGGTGGAAAAGAAAAAATCTTTGACTTCATACTTGAATTATGTTGCATCATAGTATCAGAGGAAAAATATGTGTGGTATTTTTAATGATACTGGTTCTAATCATGATGTACTGATAACTGGCACGATGGTAAATAATTATCTCACTTTTGGTGTGTGTGTGTGTGTGTGTGTGTGTGTGTGTGTGTTTTCACAGCATAAAGGAGGCAGTATGTAAATACTTGTCTCAGGATTCCCTTCTTCTCACATTACCCTTTGCCCCTGTCCTTTATAGTGCATTCTCTAGGGTTCTCCCATAAGCACAAACAAGATATTTGTACTAGAATTTAAACATTTATTTTGCAGGTGGGGGGAACTCAGAGATTTGCAGTTTTCTTACTATATTGAAAATATTACATGGCATCTGTGTTTAGAAGTGCAGCACTTTGGGGGAGAAGTTCTTAAGCAGGATGAATGCATTTTCAATTGGCATAGTTTCCATGTTACATTTTTACAGTTGCTAGATCTATAGGACTTCCTGTCAAATCTCTTAGCATTTCCCCAACTCCATCTTAAAATAACAGAGCTTTCAACTAAACTTCATTAACAGACACCAGAAATCCAACAGGGTTTCAGCTGCACTTGCCTATCAGGATATGCAAACAGATGTTTAAGAAAAGGTACTGGTTGAGGTATAATATTTACCTAGTGTTTTTAATAATAAACTGTAATAGTCCCATCTCCTTTTGAAGATTTCATACTTCAGTCATGTATTTCATTTAACCATCATTTGAACTGAAGTATTATCATTTAAGATGCCACCAGCCTGAGTCCCAGCACACAGCCCAGGTCAGAACTGTGTACCAGGAGTGAGTTGTCACACTACTTATTCCACTATTATACTTAACTGACTCTCATGTCTTCTTTTCTACAACAGGTTGCAGACTCTGTTTAACCAAGAAATTCCTAGGCTGCTCTGCACTGGCCTGACTTTCTATAGAAGAAGCAAGATTTGTCTGACTGGCTGGCCTTCTGTCGACAGTACTTAACCACTTGACATCACTCTTCTCTTGTGTGGGAAATCCTTCCTGTTGTTTTGCCCATGGAGGACGGCCGCAGGAGGGCGACATAGGCAGATGAGACTAAACACATCAGGAGGATAGTTTTACCATCTGCCTTCAGGTCATTTCCTCGAACAGAAGCTCTAGACTTTGACAGAATCTGCTTCAGTCATTTTGGTTTTGCTTCCTGTTTTTTTTTTAACTATTATTTGCCGTTGCCTTTGTTTTTAGTATCCCTTCCTCCATCCCTTTGTATTTTATTTCTGTCCTTCAGCAATGGGCCTGCAGACTACCAAGTGGACCAGCCATAGGGCTTTTTTTCTAAAACTTTGGCTTATCATTTCCCTGGGGCTCTCCTCACAAGTGTCAAAACTCCTGGCCTGCCCTAGTGTATGCCGCTGTGACAGGAACTTTGTCTACTGTAATGAGCGAAGCTTGACCTCAGTGCCTCTTGGGATCCCGGAGGGCGTAACCGTACTCTACCTCCACAATAACCAAATTAATAATGCTGGATTTCCTGCAGAGCTGCACAATGTACAGTCAGTGCACACGGTCTACCTGTATGGTAACCAACTGGATGAATTCCCCATGAACCTTCCCAAGAACGTCAGAGTCCTCCACCTGCAGGAAAACAACATCCAGACCATCTCGCGTGCTGCGCTCGCTCAGCTCCTGAAGCTGGAGGAACTACACCTAGATGACAACTCCATATCTACAGTGGGGGTGGAGGATGGAGCTTTCCGAGAGGCGATTAGCCTCAAACTGTTGTTCTTATCGAAGAATCACCTGAGCAGCGTGCCTGTTGGGCTTCCTGTAGACTTACAAGAGCTGAGAGTGGATGAAAACCGAATCGCAGTGATATCAGACATGGCCTTTCAGAACCTCACAAGCTTGGAGCGTCTGATTGTGGATGGGAATCTCCTGACCAACAAGGGCATTGCTGAGGGCACCTTCAGCCATCTCACCAAGCTCAAGGAATTTTCCATAGTCCGTAACTCGCTCTCCCACCCACCTCCTGACCTCCCAGGTACGCACCTGATCAGGCTCTACCTGCAGGATAACCAGATAAACCACATCCCATTGTCAGCCTTCTCAAACCTCCGTAAGCTGGAACGGCTAGATATATCCAACAATCAGCTACGAATGTTAACTCAAGGCGTCTTCGATCATCTCTCCAACCTGAAACAACTCACTGCTCGGAATAACCCTTGGTTTTGTGACTGCAGTATTAAATGGGTCACCGAATGGCTCAAATATATCCCTTCTTCTCTTAACGTGCGTGGTTTCATGTGCCAAGGTCCTGAGCAAGTGCGGGGAATGGCTGTCAGGGAGCTGAATATGAATCTTTTGTCTTGTCCCACCACCACCCCTGGACTGCCTGTCTTCACCCCAGCTCCAACTACAGTCTCTCCCACAACTCAGTCTCCTACTCCCTCTGTTCCAAGCCCCAGCAAAGGCTCTGTGCCTCTAGCTCCTACCCCCTCGAAACTCCCCACCATCCCCGACTGGGATGGCAGAGAAAGAGTGACCCCGCCTGTTTCTGAAAGGATCCAGCTTTCCATCCACTTTGTTAACGATACTTCGATTCAAGTCAGCTGGCTGTCTCTCTTTACTGTGATGGCGTACAAACTGACGTGGGTGAAAATGGGCCACAGTCTTGTAGGGGGAATTGTTCAGGAACGGATTGTCAGTGGTGAGAAGCAACACCTGAATCTGGTTAACTTAGAGCCCAGATCCACCTACCGGATTTGCTTAGTGCCATTGGATGCGTTCAACTACCGCACGGTGGAGGATACCATCTGTTCCGAGGCCACTACCCATGCCTCGTATTTGAACAATGGCAGTAACACTGCGTCTAGCCACGAGCAGACAACTTCCCACAGCATGGGCTCCCCTTTTCTGCTGGCGGGCTTAATCGGGGGTGCAGTGATTTTTGTGCTCGTGGTTTTGCTCAGCGTGTTTTGCTGGCATATGCACAAAAAGGGGCGCTACACCTCCCAGAAGTGGAAATACAACAGGGGCCGGCGGAAAGATGACTATTGTGAGGCGGGCACCAAAAAGGACAACTCCATCCTGGAGATGACGGAAACCAGCTTTCAGATTGTCTCCTTAAATAACGATCAGCTCCTTAAAGGAGATTTCAGACTGCAGCCCATCTATACCCCAAATGGGGGCATTAATTACACAGACTGCCACATCCCCAACAACATGCGATACTGCAACAGCAGTGTGCCGGATCTGGAGCATTGCCATACGTAACAGCCGGAGGTCCAACGTCAGAAAAGTGGACAACCAAACTCTCAAGAACACACATGAGTGTGCACATAAAGACACGCAAATTACATTTGATAAATGTTACCCAGATGCGTTTGTGCATTTGAATACTCTGTAATTTATACGGTGTACTATATAATGGGATTTAAAAAAAAGTGCTATCTTTTCTATTTCAAGTTAATTACAAACAGTTTTGTAACTCTTTGCTTTTTAAAATTAAAACAAAAAAAAATGTTGCTGAAGTACTGTACTGGGTTGTACAATGAGGACCCAATGCCAAGGCAGAAGAATGAGTGATTCATACTTAAGATGCATATTAACCACTTTGCTGTTGAAGCTGTCAGAATAAATTCCTTCTCTATAGCTTCTCTATAGTCATAGGAAAGGATAGATTCAGATGGGCTCATCAGGGTAAGAGGAATAGTTTGAGTAAAGAAAGAATGACCTAGTTATTTCTGTTTTCTATACCTCTTGGCCTGGAAGAAACACTGTTTGAAAAATCCATAATATAATAATAGAGGTAGTTATTCCAATTTGACCCAGTACAAGAAATAGAACATCATGAGGAATCCAGTTCCCATGAGATAAGTAAGGCCTACTTGACCAAATCAAAGAAACTGAGAGGTTTGAAATGTCCTTAAAACCCCAGGGTTGGCTTTCTGACTGTGAACTTCAAAATCACTCTTCATGCTTCCCTGGCCTTATGTGATAACAGAATTGGAAACCTGAGTCTGATTCCAGTCATCTTCAGGGACCAATATGATCAGTTCTAGCAAGAAAATTCCCCTCAAAACTGTCACTATTCAAATAAGATGTCAGGTGGAAGTATATCCAATAGAGTTATATTCTAGAATAATTTTTTAGAAGAGGCTAATAAAAATAATGGGAAGAATTATATTGAATGGAATTATTTTTGATAATGAAAATTATTTGGGTAGATTCACTGAGGCTATATCAACATGGTGTTTAGACCAACAAAGAACAGTATTTGGACTATATTAACAGTGATGTGTTTACTTAAAAAGTACTAATACCACTTAGGAAAAAACATCAGTGATTCTTTTACACTGTATCAGCTGACTTTGTTAGTATCATGTTGAAATAGCTTGAGTTAATACCTATATCCCCTCTCAAATTCTTGTCTTCCAATCATCTTGCGTATATTTTTTGTAACTAAGTTGTATATTCCCCCTTTGTTTCCCCTCCACCACCTCTACTTAGTATTTCAAAGAAATTGTGGACGCGAATCTTGGTTGCACAAATGATCCCTGTGTATTTCTATGTATTAAAATCCATATTAATATCAATTGCCAATGATTCTCTGGAGACACCAAACTGGCCAAAATAATGCGTATTGTTAAAAAGCAATACTATGTTTCCATTAGGAATTAGCTTTGATCCTTTTCCACATTCAGAATTCCCACTTGTTCCTTTTCGGTTCTGGATGTCCCTCTAATTTGTTCATCTGAGGGTGATAATTAACTTTATGCTAAAAGAGCACCAGTGAAAACGAGTAAGTCAGAGAATGCATTATTTCTCTCGTTCTGGCAGAAGGTATATGAAAGCGAGGGATGTCCACTATTGATGCTAGATATTTTTGAAGCAAGTCCATTTTCAGAAAACATGAATAATTTACCCAATTATTGTCATCCCTTAGGTGTAGAAGGGCTATAGACCACATACATTGTTTAAAGAAATTTACCCTTGGGGAATTCTTTTCAAAGCCACCTTTAGGCATTTCATTCTGTATTCCTTTACAACCATCCATCACTTTAGGGACTCATGAAGTAAATGTCACCCTCTTCTTGATTTTTCTTTCTCTCTAAGCAAAATAAAACTGTGATGTGTCTTCTTGTAAAATTTTAGGTATAAAATGCTATGCAAGCTTTTCTTTATAGCAAGAGCTTTATTTTCTTTAATAATATACCCTGACTTATATGTTTTAATCTCCCTCATTTCCTCAGAATAAGCAGAAAATATAACTGCAGTGATAATGTTATAGACACAAGCATTGAGATGTGCAGTCGGTAGAGCTGAACATAGTTATGAATTAATTTAATTAATTCTAAAGTGACTCGGGTTTCCTCTTTCATCTATTAGCTAGCGGGTTGGGGCTGTTGGTTCCTGTAAAAGTAGGTTCACACAGTGAAGGAATAAGACCATCTGGAATGGTGATCAGTGGAGCGTTACATCACCTAAAATCAGGACAGTGATATGGGGCTCCGTGTATTAGCTGAGTGCTTTCCTTTCACTTTCCTCTTGCATCTCACTGTAGGTAAAACTGTGTGCTGAAAAATATAATGGTACTTTGATTTTTGAAGATTTTTATTTTGTTATAAACAAGATAATCAGTATTGTCAGTTCGTACTGTATGTTTAACTTCCAGTGGGATTCAGGACTATGGAAATGTCTTTTCTTTGTCCCTGGAGAAAGATGGCATGGTTCCCACAATGTTGAATGGCAACCACAACACTATAGGGAGTTGAAGTGGTACTGAAGAGACCCAGTCATGTACAATGGTTAAGTTGCTTGCAAAATTGCTCTGGTAGAGGTGTTTAAAAAAAAAAAAAAGATCTTCATTTTGATCTTATGAACAGCATAGCAAAGATATCTGCCATGAAAATCAGACTACCATCTGTAGAAGTGTGCTTTAAGGACTCCTACATCAGAGTGAAAATCACATCGTGTAATCTGTACTAGCTTATGACACTTTTACAAAAGCAGATGAGCACCAGTCCTTACTGGATGATATTTTGGCTGGCATCATTAGTCAGGAGACTGTCCTGCAGTTATATCTCCTCTGTGTGTGGTCCTCTCTTAGCCTCATCATTATTTCTTTTGAGGTGATTAGTTAAGAGTTAAAGTTGAGTTATCTCAGATAGTTTCACCCCCCCCCTGTCAGTACAATAACTGTAACTACTAGAGGACATTGCAAAAGAAAAAAGTAAATCAAGGTCACACAGATGTCATCAGTGATTAAACAGAAGGTAATCACCAGTACCTCCTTGCTTACAGAGATGCATATGACCCTGGAGCGACCCTGGGTTTCACTTAAACACAGTCACTTCCTTGGCTAGGCAGTACAACACTTGTGACAATCACAGACAACATGAGAAGGGTGTTACCTATTTATTTATAATATAAGTGGAATAATCCTCCCTTTGTGAGAAATAATGCTATTTCTAATTTTCCAGATGTTTGTTGATACAATATTAGACATTTTCTCTCAAGGGTAAAATAGAAAAAAGTAACTGTAATGTGATCTTTTTGGAAAAAAAAAGATGTATTAACGGTGTAGCTGATATTACACCTCTGTTTTTTAAACAGTGGAGGTCATAATGGTCTTAGTCATGCCACACAGCCAGAACTTCCTTCTTCCCTGGAGAAAGCGTAACTCTTCATGTGAGGAGAGCATCCATTTCAAATACAAGGCACCATTGTTTTCTTCAGAGGCAGGTGCTACACTGGATCAGCAAATTTCAGCTGCAGCATCCCTGCAGCTTTTGACAGTGAGGTGATTAATTTTCATCAATGTCTTTTTCTAGGGTTTATCTCTGACCTATCAAAAGGGGATATTAGATGTTGCTTTAGAACTTGAGAATAACACATAAACTCAAAACTTGCTTCTCCAACTAAATGGGAAAGCAAAAAGGAAGAGTGAACAACAGGGAAACAATACACACACACACACACACACACACACATACAAAAACAAAAACAACAAGTCTCAATTCTTAATATTGTCAAACTTAGCTTCTTTTTTTAGTTAAGATAAATAATGGTAGGAAGCTGTATCTACACCCTTCTCCAGTTTTTTCAGCAGGATTGAAGCAATTGTTGGCAACTGCAATGCTTTTCACTGATTGTGGAGAATACATTTTGTACACAGTATGATGCTGTTTTAGCAAACCAGGTTGTTTTGTTACAGTATTTCATTTTATAGCTGCACATCCACCAGAAGAGCACAAACCAAGGCCATTGCGACAGGCATTTTAAAATTAACATAAAACATGCAATTCCATGCATACATAATACATGGGCTGTTTGTAAAGGTGTCTGTGGAATGTGAGATTTGTAGCCAGCTCCAAAAAAATGAGGCATCACTATTGTATGCCCTCATAGGATAATATTTACTGAATGTTAAGTTTGATGATCTGTTACTATTTGAAGCATATGTTGATTTGATTTTGGTTTGTGTTTAGTGTGTTTCTCTGACAAGGGACTTCAAGGGGCTGGAAGATTCCATGTCATGCATCCTCTGAGACCTACCATGTTGCACACTTTGTTAACTACCAACTTCACTCTACACTATACAGTACCTTGTTGATATATTCAGTAAAGGCTTATTTTAAAAGAAAACCCATTGTGTTTATCTGAGTAAATTGACCGGAATGTAACCAGTACTTCTGCTGTAATGTAAATGAGAAACATGAGAAATTCTTCATAGACAACAAAGAAGGCAGAAATGAAGCAGACTGTAAAGTGTTCGTACCCTGTACTGTACGTAAAAGCAACATCTATTTTTAAAGACAGTGATCTCTCTGTGTAAAAGGATAATGTGGTGGTTCCTCCCCTTTTCCCCACTGAAATAATTTCAGAAGATAGATTTATGTACACACCACAGTAGAAAGCACAGCCTTCTCTGTTTGAGAAATACAAACAGATATGTATAATATGTACACAATTACACAAGTCTTTTTTCCACAATATACACTATTGATTTTGATTGTTAACTTTGAGAATTCGTGTCCCCCTTCTTTTTTTAAAGAATTGCTCACTGTTCTTCTGTACTTTCCGACGGATACTCCAGGTAGTTCATCTACCCATGTAACTCAGATTTGATTCTAGATTAGTCCCAAATGATTTTACAGAACCCCCTTCTCTAAATGACCATTTCACCACTGATGAATTTGGCATGTGTAGTGTGGAGCTGCAGTCTGCATTCCTGCCACCCGGCTCGCGGCCGCCTGGCTAGCTGATGCCCCGAAATAATTACATGGAAACTGTATTCCTTTAAACACTGTTTGGCCCATTAGTTCTAGCCTCTTAATGGATAATTCTCACATCTTGCCTAACCCATATTTAGTGATCTGTGTAGCACCAGTCTTACCGGGAAAGATTCAACATGTGTGACCTGGCTGCTTGCTTGCCCTGGAGAGGAGTGGCATGGCATCTGCCTAACTTCCCTTCTTCCCAGCATTCTGTTCTGTTTACTCCACCCACCTATGTTCTAACCTATCAGGCCAAGCAGTTTCTTTATTAATTAACCAATGAAACCAATAGATTGATATATGACACTCCCACATCAGGCATGGGCTTAATGAATCAGAAATAAAGTGATGACTTTTCAGTTAACTAGCATTATTAGTTGTAGGATTTCAACTGGGTGATGAACTATGAAAGATGGAGTTAGCAGGTGAGTCATATTACATTGAGAAGTCTTTACATACAATACTAATTGCTACTTGTTTATTTTTGACAAGTTATAGAGGTTACTGTAACTATGCTCTCAGCCAACAAGAACCATTCATTTAGTAAAATTTATTAAGATCTTCACTGTCTGGCCTCTAGAGTGACATCAGAGATTTTAGAGGAGGACAATGAAATCTTAGAAAAACCACCTCTATTTTCTAGTCTACTGGAAATTGTGTACCCAAAATATTTACTCCTAAGCTACTTTTTATGCGGCTATGCTACATTCTCCTCTGTTACTTTCAGAGAAAAATGAACTTGCTATTTAAAATCTCAAAGATCACTTCCCAATACTTTTTAAAAGACATTCTGATGTTCTCTACATCATTTCCCGATAGTAACAGTATACCCCCAGTAATAAAATAGGTAAATCTACCAGCGAGGAAGTAAGATGATGCATTTTTCATTAAGTATCATAAACTGTCACAAAGTGGCAGCATATTGACAAGTAGGGGCTTGGATGGAGTTAGGGTTTCAAATTCACAGCAAGAAATTGAAGTTGTATTTGCAGATTACACATGCAACCTATGAAAGTTCTATTAAGAACCAGAAAATGAATCATTCAAATGCAATAAACGTACCTGAGAATTGAAAACACATGGAGATAAATGTGCTCTTGCTTCCTCCCTCCTTCCTTCCCTCCTTCCCTTCTTCCTTAACTCCCTCCCTTCATCCTCCCTTCCTTCATCTCGACTTTTCCAGATTTTACAGCTGAACTTCAAGAGAATCTCAGTGTTTGGTCCATAACCCTGAGTGTTGCAGATGGAGGCAGAATTTAGCTTCTCGCAGGACTGCATAGAATCTTCAGTAAATTGACTAGCCTGAAGGCTGACGTGCAGGATAAAATATTATTCAATCTTTAAAATGTTTTGATGACAGTTATTGCTGACTTTCAGTGGACACCAATACTAATTCCTGTGTACAGATGTGCATATTAGTATTTTCCAGGGAAAGATGGTTCTTATTATTTCAGTGATTTATAATTCTCTCTATTGGGATAATGTTTCCTTAATGATATATAACACAGCCTTGGATTCTCTTGAACTCCTTGGATTGGCTTTATCAGCCATTATTGTTTCATTTTTATTACCATCCATTGAATATTTGCTGAAAGTTTGGGTGCTGAATAGTACAATATTCCAGGAGAATTTATATGATGCATCAAACTCTCTCCCAGAAAGAAAGTACTTGACACATGGCCCAGATTCCTCATGTTTCTACATCCTTCAAGGATTCTCATATTTATGTTTAATTCACGATTCATGGATGCAGCTTATTCCAGCATTTGCAGGAGCTCTTTAGATTTATTTTCCTCCTTTCTGTCCTCTGGCTGTCTTCTGTCTTTCCTATGCACTGCAGAGAAACACTGTGTGTACAATGCTTAAATGTGATGTGGTCTTTCTTTGAAAATCTATTGCGGTCACTCGTGAAGTAGAGGTTAGAAAACAATTATTTGAAATACGATCTCTCTTTTCAACATTTATCCTGGGGATATAACTCAGTTTGCCAGGCATGGCTGTAAATGCTTTTGCATATTAAGTCAACTTTTTAGCTATTGTCACCTTAAATTTTCATAGAGTTGTTTCATTCTTATGCTCCTGGAAACATTGAACATGTTCTATCAGTTCCTACATTCTGTCCACTGCTGAGTGAAATTCTAGGTCCCTGATATGTATCAGAAGTCTTAAATCAGTAATGCCTTCTACAAATAGAGGCTTGAAACATGCGGGGTAGCCTTGCTCATATAACTGAAAATTTGCTTTATATGTAGAAGAAAAATGACCACCCTCCCTCAAAAAAATTGAGTACCTAATAATATATATTTGATAGGAAAAACTGTGGCCATGTATTTGATTTGAAATTTTTCTATAGAATCATGTTATGCCCCAAGGGTGAGCTGAGTGATCAAGTTAACAAACTGAAGAACTTCCTTTTAAGCTACAGGCAAATTTAAAACTCTGAAGTAGTTTCTGGGAATAAAGGCCTATAAAAGAATATCTTTTAAAATTATCTTGCAATTCAATGACACAGACATGAAAAGTCCACAGAGCACCAGTCCACATTAAATCAAACATTCTGACAGTTTTGGGTGTTTAAATCAGTTTTCCACATTTGAAAAGCATAGGTAGATGTTACTTTCATATTCAGCAGTAAAATCACAGCAGACCATTGTTTGTTATTCATTGTCACAGCCCAGACAAAAAACACAGAAATATCACTAATAGAGTTACATTGTATTGTCTCGTTTCCATCTATGGGGAATATATAATCCTTCCTAGAAGTAATTTCTCCCTGTGAAAAGGTACAGTCAGTGATAATTAAAAGGTCAGACTTGAAATCAATTTCTGATTAATTTGAGAAAGTTGACCATACTACTAGCTAGCCAACTCACCTGACCAATAACTTGCATTTGAAGTTATTTATTTCCATTTGTGTTAGTGTGGATAATGATATTTCATACAAGTGCCAACATACAAAGCATCTGGCATAGTATTTGCTTCTGAGGAAACACCAAATGAATGACACTTAGCCCTATATTTTGTGTTTTTTTGTTTGTTTTTCAATACAAGATGACCTATAGCCATTTTTCTATGATGAAAAATAAATGTTAGAATAATTAAAAGAATTCTTCATAGATCTAATCTCCTTTAAAGTAGCTGCTTTCCAAATAAAATTTAGTTGTGTATAACTATCAGCATCACAATTAGACAGTTTTCCATTGTTCTATTATCTTTTATCATTGTACTTGTTTTGAAAGAACTGACCGGACTCAGAATAACACACAGAAATAACAGGCTCTTCCTTTCTTTGTGAGGAAGACCACTGAACAACTGTTGAGTGCAGTGAGAACACACTGCTTTGTAAATATAGCCCATTCCGTCCATCATGCAGAATGTGAATAAGTGTGGTCATTTTGGAAAGTCAGTTCAGCATATGTAGACAACATGCATCCCTGAATGGGGGCACTCAGAAGGCGCTAGAAAACCATAAATAACAAATATGACATGTTTTAAAATGCATGTCTTAAAATCTGTAAGTTGGGTTTTTGTTTTTTATTTGCCATGCTTAGGATGAAACCTAAGGTCTTCAGTTAAGCTGTACTCTGATATGACCTGATGGTAATTTATGCTACCATGCTGGCACCATAACATGTAAATCTACCCTTGTATGGCAATGACCAGCAAGGTAGCAACCCAAAGAGAGTATTTTTAAGGTTGTGCAAGTGCTATTTTTACCATTTGCCAGTTACTCTTGGCAATCACTGAGATTCTTAGTTTCCCATTCTGGTAGAAATTCACAGCTATACAATCCCTTCTGCTTTAATATAGCTTTTAAAATATTTTAGTCTTTCATTTGTATGTTGCTTTTGTCTTGGATGCATATCTGTGCACCATGTACATGCCTTGTGCCCATTGACCAGAAGAGGCATTTGGATTTCCTGAGATAGTAGGTCAGTTGTGAGCTGCCATGTGGGGGAAAGGAATCTAATGTTTATCCTTTATAACCACTGAGTCATCTCTACATCCCTCGTCATGTTGTTTTTGCAAATACATATATATATATATATGAACATATATAGATAGATATACATATATATAGATATACATATATAACAATGAATGTAAATTTCTCATTACGGTTTGCAGCAATACTCCTTTCCCCAATATTTTCTCTTTCTTTCTTCAAAAGAAATTTAGAAAGCCAGACATTTCATTCTTACACTGAATATGTATTTTTCTTCTTACCCTTAATTTTGTTGTACAACTGATTACAATAAAATCATTTGCCACCTATCCAAGGAAATAGCATTATATACGGCAATAGAACCAATCTCTACCCTCTTTGGACAACTGTTGATCGGCTGTCCCTCAGTTCTTTGTATTTCGTTGCCTACTGGCCCTCACTAGTAGGGTGACTGTCAATTTCCCTGGTCTTTCTGAGGCAAGGAGAAGCTGAAGTGAATTGCTTTGTAATGGAGTTCACTCCCACGAGAATGAAAGCACCAATCTAAAGACACACAGACTACCGCATAGAAAGCTGACCTATTCAAACATGACAGATCTCTTTAATTTCTGGGTGAAGGCTCTCTAGAACTAGATTCAGATCTCTGCCACAGCTTGTAGTAATGTGGACCAAGAGCACATTTATGCATTGCTTTTCTCAACTGGATTGAGGAATTAAATTGCCTTCCTCAACAATAACAGCACAAGCCCAATGCCTGAGTATACTGAAAACATAATCATGCCAGTCACTGTAAAATATGTGGAATTGGTTTTTAGAATTTATTCAACATAAGCCAACTATTTACTGGACCATGGGTATGGTCACTTATTTGTCTTGTTGGCTGCCTGCTCTCAAAAACCAGAAGAGTTTGTTGTGGTCTCAGAAGTCCTGTGCTCATGCCTTTCTATAAAGATCATCAGCGATCACTAACATTCCATAAAGGATATATACAGAGAATATTTATGCAGTCAGTTTCATTGATTTTCTTATAATGTCTGACATGTTATGCATGAGCCAGTGATCCTAGAGCAGTGCCTAAGCAATTGAGTACTTCCTGCTCTTAAAGAGAACCCAGATACATTTCTCAGTACTCACACCAGGAGGTTCATAACCATCTGGAACTGTGCTTCCCAGGGAATTGGTTTCCCTCTTCTGGCCTCCATGGGCCCCCGCACACAAGTGGTAAATGTACATACACATAATACAAAAATTAAATAAAAATAAAGACTAATTTTAAAATAGGCAGGCTAGTGGAGTGACATACACATTCACAATCAATAGGAGTGATACAGTCTCAAATAACTGTGACTTTGAATCCATGTGAGATTCTTCAGGACCCTAAATACTTGGTTTCCACACATGTGATATAGGATACTAATACTTCAGAAAGTTTAATAGAGTCAGTGATGTGAAAAGGTCAATGCCAGGCATCACAGCCAAAAAAACTGCTGCAATAGGGAGAAAAAGCAATCGAAAACATTGTTTGAAGTTCCAACTAAAAATTATATAACTAAGGAGACTTAGTTATAAAGTACATTGAATAAAAACCTCATTTGAGTTCCTTGAAATGGCAAATTTGTCTTCTATTTCTGAAAGTCTTTGATGTCTGAGTCTGGAAATTGCTTCATATTTAGAGACATAAAATTATGAGAATAACACAAAAGATATTATTCAATCAAAATCATGTAGTTTAAAATAAACAGAACAGATTTTATCATCAATTCTCCCACTCCATCCTCCAAATCTGGAAACAATACATTTAAAAAAAAATCATAGAACAAGTTCTCAGAATAATTAGGTAATTCTTTCCCAACATCTTCAGTATATTGATAAAAACTACTGTTGAACACATAACAATGAGACGCTAATTTTAAAGAGTTTAGACTTTATAATAGTTGTCTACAAACAGACATTTTTGGATCACATCACACACCTGTGTGATGTAATTACCTGGAGCAGTAATTAAACATTGTTTTAAAGGATATTTAGTGTGTAGACTTTCCAATAATTTATAATTATCTAATGACAAAAAATTTTAAGTATCATTACCTATTCTTTTATAAGCTATTACTCATATTTCTAATAAGCTAGCTCTTTGTTATGAAATTTTAAAACTTTCATTACTTTTGTAAGGAAACTTGATAAAAGATAACCAAATTATTAAAATAACATTTTTCAAAGTGCTTAACTATTTTGCTTCCTTTAAGCAGGATCAAATTATATTCTTAAAGTAATTTAATAAATGAGATTTAATAAAAGTATTTATTAATACTTTTATTGCAAAGGCTAAAATTTTGCCTGGAAGTTTAGAAACATTAATACTGTTACCTAACAACAGAAAATCAGAGGTGAAATCACAAGGGTATAAAGATTCCCCATTATTATTAAGCTCACCTAATATTTTTAGAGTGACAGACAATTACATTTTGAAGAAATGCACTTTTGGAACAATTTATTTTGTTAAGTATAGTTGTTATCAATGAACTCATTACTATAAAGTCTGTTTCCAGATGTCAGTTTTCTTCTAAAATTATGCATCAAAATAATATAAGGAAGCAGTCTATTTAAAAATAAAGTAGCCGTATGAAATTGGTCACATTCTCACAAGATGCAGTAAACAGGAATACAGGTAAATCAATTGTGGTGCTACATAAATAAAAAATCAATATACCTTGAGGATGAATCAACATTTATTAACCAGAAAGCATTCGTGATTTTGGTATACATATAAATCAGTCTAATTAAAAACAATGGAAAATTATATTTAGACAAAGAAGTTAGCAAAACGACCAACAAGCTGCTATAAATACTTAGCTTCCCAAACTAAAAAAACTGACTACTATTATTGATATTCCACCATCCCCTGTCCTCCCATATGAGCAGCAGTGTTATAGCCCTTAATACGGGCCTGACATTTGACTTGAAATAATATTTAAATGATGATTGATTCTTTTTGCACATGTATATGTACACCTGTAGAAAGGCTTCTCCAGACTTTTCACATTTTAATCTCATACCGGAATCACAGAAGATCTAATTATATGTACCTATATCATGTCAGTAAAAGAGCTTGAATTTCCATTCTTGTTCTTTGCTCTGGAATCCTCCATTTGATTTAACAACCTGTCATAATCTTTATACTGTTGAGTTCAATCACCATCAGTCAGACACTTAAACATAGTCTAGTCTCTTTCCCAGCTTAATTTAGTAATTTAGTTTCTGGATTTGAAAATGTCAGGGAATGAGTAGAATGTCTTGGGCAAGGACAGATTTTGAGAGCCACATCAGCCCATCTATACCCAGATTTTACAAGGCATCAGGATAAACTCAGCACTCACTGCTCAGGACCACTGAGACTAAGAGAAAAAAAAAACTATGTCAGATAAATGCCTTGACACAGGAATCCTGTACCATGGGACATTTCTGGAACTCATACTCCTTACCTATTCAGGTAATACATGGACTCAGAACATGAAGAGAAGGAATATGTCATGGAAGGAACTCTGGCAGAAGTCAGTGACTGGATGAGAAGCTAAAGCAGGTCTGGACCTTTCATAACCTCCCTCTTAATTGATGAGTTTCATAAAGTGACCCAGAGAAACACCATCTGGCTTTATATTGTCACAGCACAACCTCTGTGAGGAGAAAAAAAAGTGGGTTTTTTTTTGTGTGTGTGTGTGTGTATGTGTGTGGTGTGTGGATACTTTGGCAATTTTGGCGAAGGAGGCACTGGTCATCTTGAACCGTCTGGCCAGAACCTACTACAGAGCAGACATCAAGAACTGAATCCAGAACTCGAGGACATTTCTCAGAATTATGAATTCAGATATCCTTGCAAAGTAGCCATCATTGGTAGGAAAAAAGATCACACATATGCATCTGTGGATTAGTTGCTTAATGCTCTTCAGAAGGATTGAACCAAGCTCTTCAGAAGGATTGTTTCTCAACCTCTAAGTCTTTCTAGCTTACTTTGGGTGACTGAAGAAGCTCTCTGCCTGTGAAGACCCGCCAAATCCTCCCGGCACATGCATATACAAGGGTGGCCAAATGGGGCAATGAATAACTCCTTGCAAAGGAATGGGATGGTGGTAGAAATAAGCCAATGTTGCATTGCTTGAGTCTTTGAAGGATGACTGACATTGTACCCTTGATGCCATCTTCTCTTTTCACTTCTTTTCTAGCCTACTCTAATGTGTCATTGAACCTCGTTTCTCTCATCTAATCATCCAGGCCCTAGCAAACTTCATTCTTCATGACTACGTTCTGCACTAACACCCACCTGTCAGTCTTGCTGGTCAGTTGCTGTCATACTTTGAATAGCCATTTGGGGACCCTCACCAAGAGTGCATCCTCTCACTGCAATCTGAGATGCTGCCGTGTGACCCTGTTTCCCAGTGTTGTTCCTGTTCTACTCCTTCTGACCTCCATAAAGTTTGAGCCAAAGTTGCCCTGGCTACTGCACAGCAGACTTCAATGTGACTTCCAAGGACTTGCTAGGGATCCTGATTCACAGGTATTCTGCAGGGAAAGGCTGGAGTATGAGGTTCCCTAATCTCAATGATTTGTAAGGATGAGAAGGAGAATTTCGGAGCCAGGAAATTTATTAATTATAATACTTCTAAAGCCTCTGCTACCTCAATGATGAAAAACCAGGCTAATGGCCCTCCCCAGCAATGAGCCAGGATCCTCACTGTTTCTCGGCATTATAAGTCTCTAGGATCACATGCGCTACATCTCTATTCCTTCGGTGTGTCTGTCCTGGCTTCCTGCTGCTCACCTGAGACCATCTTTTTTCCATTAATTTCTATTCTTCACAAGTCCCTGTGAAGAAAAGTCCTTCATCATTCTATTTAAAAACCACCACCAACCACAAAAACTTAACAACAGTTAACTAAAACCAGGTGAGATAAAGACAACTGAGGTTGTATGAAGGCAAATGGAAGAAATTTTCAACACAGCCCATTTGAA